CCAGCTCCATACTGTGTTATCTCAAAGTCAATGAGCTGATGGTTTTCTCTGGGTGACCTGGTGAGCACCAAGACTGATGTAAGCAAGTACAAAAGACAATTGGAAATAAATTGGCAAACATAGTCTATCTACCTGCTGCTACCGTGCTGTACAATCAGCATTTATTGACCATCCCCAATTGCCCTGGGGAAGGTGGTGGTAAGTTGCCTCCTTGAACCACTGCAGCACTCCCCCAGCCCCTCTATATCACCACCCCCACTGAACCCCGCCACTTTGGACTTCACTGTTTGCAAGTTATTGTGTTTCCTGGCATTAAGAGTCTAATGATGACCATGAATACATTGTCGATTGTCAGGGAATGACCATCTGGTTCACTAATGTCCTTTAGGGAAGGAAACTGCCATACTCACCTGGTCTGGCCTACACGTGACTCCAGTTGCTGTTTTCTTAGCTGTTTTCTGGGCAATTAAGGATGGGCAATAAATGATGGCCTGGCCAGCGATGCCCTCATCCTACGAACAAATAAAAAGATGGTAGCAATCACATTTCAAATGTGCTCCGTTGGCTGGGATTTCCTGAGGTTGTGAAAGGTGCCATACAAATGGAGGCTTTCCTGGATTTTTGTTGGCACAGTTGATATCTAAGAGAGGCTGTGTCAATTTCCAAGTATCACTTTCAATTCCTTCAGTAGGCTCACCTCCCTGCATGATTTGTCTCCTCTTTCCCGAAGTGGGTAACTTATTGTGACACGTGTTTCTGCTGGGGTCAAGAATCCTCCAGCATCTCACTCAGGCGCTCATTTCCCTGTGGGTAAATCAAGGCAGCTTTTCCACTGTGGAATGCATCACCCCAGTCCTATCTTGCCCTACCATCCAGAAGCTGAACGGTTTTAAGTTTGTGCCTCTCTCCACATGCCGACTAACAGTTGACAGGGGGAAAATAAAATCATTCAGCTGAGTAAATGAGTGTGAGTGATCTTTAGTTGCAGAGGTTGACTTCTGACCTTCTCTTTGGGAAATGTCACCTGAAGCAGATTGAACCCCATGCTTAACAGTAGCTGCAATATGCATTAATTGTAAGGCACACTGTCAGATTCATTTCCTGTGGTCGCTTAAATAAAAATGGAATTATTATTTATAAGTGAAAGAGTTTCATGGTGTAATGCAATCTATAACAGGAGACATTTATGGTTTTGAGGCCAAAGAATTATCTGCAGCATTTCACTGAATAAAGTCTGCCTTTTCTAACAGCACAATAAATAAGTAAAACATACCAGGACTGTGTAATCTTTTTAAAAGATTGCTTTCTGTGACTGTCAAAGTGCAGCACAGAGCAAAACCCTTTTGAGCAGTAGGTGACAAATATTTTGTCCTCTTGCCAGTGTTGACAGGATGGTAAGCTGCTGCTGAGAATTGGGGCAAGAGTTTAAGGCATTTATTGTTTCTCCTCTGCTAGGTAAACAAGGGGTAATTTAAACTGCAAATATGGTAAACGTTTAACCAGGTTCCCAGAGACTCGACTTGCATCTTTTCATTGGTAACGGCAGCTCGTTTCAACTAATTGATGAACACTTGGGACTTGGATCTTAAATTCTATATCTAACCTGCTCCAATAATGCATTTTGTCAAAAAAATACTTCCAGAAGTTTTGGTTGTGTGATATTAGCATACAATTGCTTAACGTGTTGCTGGTACAAAAATTTTAGTGAAGGTGTTAACCCATTTAAAATAATTGTGCTACATCTCACCATTAAGATAGCCAACAGAGGAATTTCCCACAAGTGTGTTAAGGGTTTGTACATTAATCATCCCCCAGCATTGACTCAGGTCTTTGCTGTTTTGTCATTAACCATATTAAAAGGCTCAGACCCAAGTCAAAGCAAGTCATCCCTGATTACAAGGGGCTGCCAAAGGAGAAAATTGTGATGATCATCGTGAACAACCCCATGTTCAGTCCTTGGTCGGTTACAGAGCTTGTCCACCTCAAGCATTTGGATGGTGCCTGACAATGATTAGTGTCCTAAGCTAGGAAGGCAGAAATCTACATCTATTTCTGCTTTTGATCACAGCCCAGAGAATTGTCCTGGAAATTCTGCAACTTGGAGATGTCAAGGGAAGTGAGCTCTGTAGTCAAATAACTGCACATAGTGAATAGCTGACAAAGTGAGATGCTGGAATGTTCCTGAAATCTATTGAAATCCTCATCAGACTGAATTAGGCTTTCTAAACGAAGAAGGAAAATTACTGGCAACAAGGAGGAAACTTCTGAATGTTAAACTGTAACAATCTCACTTGTAATTCTCATTGGTGGAAATAGACATCAGCAAATGAAGAAGTAACAGTGAATAGAAGGATATGCTGATTGTTAAAAAGTTCCTTACAATGTAGTAAGAAATGCTAATTCATCAAGCTCATGCTGCACATTGAGCTTAATGCTATTTAAATTGTTAAAAAATAGTTGAACAAAAGTTGCTGTATTGCAGATTTAACATTTTAAACCTATTTGGTAAAGAAAGAATAAATATAATACCCTTTGTCTTCAACTAATTCCCTTATATGATATAAAAACAGCTAACCACTTTCAGGAATGTTCAACCAGTTCAACTAAGATAAGGAGCCTTTATTTAACAATCATTGCCCCTCATCTGAAAGCTTCAAAGTGTCCTGTCCCTTGGCCAACTCGCACTATCTTGATCACATGAGCCTGGGGTGCACCTGGGTCAACTTAAGGCAGGAATAAAGATTTCAAGCCACTTTAATGGTTAAGAAGTGGGCCTCAGCTGTTTGTATAGATGAGAATGGGATGGCTTTGCTAAAAGGGCAAGCTCCGAATCGAATACTTTCAAAGGTCAATGAATATTTATAAATGTGGTCGGGTGCAAATACGCTGTTTACAACAGTTGTAAGCAAAGGTTTTACATTTCAAACACAAACGGAACTCCCATCCCACGATTTCATTCTCAAAACTGTCTTCGCTGAGTTTGGCAAGATGAAAATTAACACTTCTATTTAACTTATTTTTAACTTTTTTAACCAATCTTTTGCATTTTAACTTATCACACTGATAGCTCTTTGATTTGCTCTCAGCCAGTCCAACATATACACACTCAATAAAAAAACAGACAGCGGTTTCTTCTCTTGTCTGGAGTATTTGGAATATAGTCCCCACTGGTTACTGGTCCTGACAACTTGTGTTGACTTCTTTGAGCCTGACTTCAATATCTGTGCTAAAACAAAATGCTGTCATTATCTCCCTGCAGGCATGTTTCAGAATTCAGTTGATTTTCACAGATGTTTTCGAAACCTAGACCAACCCAATCACCTGTGCCACCGCTGCTATGTGGGTGGTATTACAGTTGCATGTTTACGATGGTCATGCATGGGCAATGCTTTATCATGGAGATTGCCAGATTAAAGACAAAAGGATGCATTTTGAGTTAGGTGCTCTGGGATACTTTGCATACAAGTAAATAAAAACAAGTCAGCAACAAGCACTTTAAAAAAAAATTAATTGACGTTCAGAAATTATGTCTTTCACATTTGTGTCAGTAAAGTATATAAACTATGAAGTATATCTGATGCACTGTCAGGGTAGACAGGGAGAAAATCATTCCAGCAGAAGGAAGCAATGTAATAACAGGTTAAAGATGTAAGATCATTGGCAAAATATCCGAGGGGTATGGCAGGGTATTTGTTGTAATCAGGGATGCCTGAGATGATGAAGGAAGTAGAGTTAAAAGTTACCCACAAAGAAGTGAAATGTACTTGAAGTGGAAATTGTCTATTGGTAACGATCAACAGTGTGGGGCTAAAATGGCTTTCAGACGGTCTGCAAATGCACAATGGATCAGAACGTCTCCTTCTATTGTATTATTCTGTGATTTGGAACAGAATTTAAATTTTACTGCTCCTCACTATTTCTGAACTGGATTTCACTTCAGATTCTCTTTAGAATTTTAAATATAACATTTAGATAAATCTAGATATACATACCTTCCTTAGTTGGATGCATATGTTGGCACAATATGTGTGTTACGAAAAGAAGCTATTGTCTTGTATACACGGAGCCAAAAGTGTAAAAGTAATTGCCTGTAAAGGCTGTCTATTGTGATTGGAAGTCATTATTGGACAATTAAAAATATCTGTTATCTGTACTGATAGTTTAAACTTCGAACAGTTGAGTTACTCAAATAACGTCCTTGTGCAACTTCTTGGGATAGATTACTACATTTTCAACAACAACTTGCATTTATATTTGCATTCTTGATAACAACAAAACATTCCAGGGGCAAATAGAGCAAAACCGGTCAGTAAGTTGCATAAGGAATTACAAGGCCAGAATGCCACAAATAGTTTTTAAAAAGAACTTTAAGAAGGAAAGCAAGGCAGTGGGGTGGACAGACGCAGAGAGAGAATTCCAGAACATAGGGCTTAGCAGCCAAAGTTACTGCAACCAATTCCAAAATTGCTTATTTGGCAAGAATTGATGGTGTACAGGGAACCCAGGGAAGTTGCTAGGGTTGAAGGAGATCAAAGGTGATAATATGCAATTTATTGTTGTTGCTGAATTAGTGATCACTGAACCTTTCCTCAGTACCATAACGAGGGCAGGACTGAAAGTAACTGTACAAAGCACTCATAGTATTATGCGTAGTCATTTCTCCCTAATTTAATTTGTCACATGTTCTGTGCAAGTTACTGTTACAGTAGCAGGAAATGTTTCATGCAAAGATTAAACTTTTAGGTGAATGATATCCCACTGTGGAGTGGCCTCACCAGTGCTTTCAATGCCAACGCGGTTTAAATGAAGCTGACACCATACTGGAGCTTGTTTAGGGCAGTTTCCCAGAGACAGGTTCCATGTTCACATTGTGAGTGTGCGTACACATCTGTATGAATACGTATTTAAATTTGAATTTGTATCATTTATTGTCACATATATTTAATATAGAAATACAGTGAAATGTTTAAAATGTCGCCGTGAGCCAGAGCCATTTTGAGTAACTTAAAAATATTAAAAAAGATAATTTTAAAAAAATTGAAAACAAGATAACTGAAAGGGAGCCCAACTTTTCCATGACCACCGATAGCCGCCTGTTCCACACCGCTGCCAGAGCCCCACTCCTGGTTCACCAGCTGGTTGACTCATGTCGCCATTTTGCCACCAGTACTCAGGTTCACAGTGCTGCCTCTGCTAAAGCCGCTGCTGCTCCCGACCCCGTCGAAGCCACCTTCCTACTGGCTCAGCTCTCCTCAGAAGGTAAGTAGAAGTCAGAGCTGAAAAAGGAAAAAAAAACAAGAAGAAGAAAAGCAGATGGAGTGGACAAGCCCCAGACCCAGGAGCCCAGACACTGCCTACTCTGCCGTCACCGTCTTGGAAGATATGTATGTGTAATGCTGTTTAAACCTGTATGTGGATGTGTATGCATGTGTCTGTGTGTGCCTATATGTACTCGTGTACGTTTGTAGATCTATGTACATTTGTGTAGGAATTTACATGCCCACTTGATATGTTTTAAAGGAAACTTGACCCCAAGAAGGAGAAGACAAGAGAATGATCTGTTGATAGGATGAAGTGAAGTCGAATGGAAGGAGGTTTGTGTCACGTGTAGCCCTATTGAATTCAATGGCTTGTTTCTGTGCTGTAATTTCTATGTAATGAGGGATCACACTATCAAGATGAGAATCTGCTCATCGGCAAGGCCTCTTGAAATTTGACCTCAACAAAGATTAACATCAAAGGCTTTTGTTGACCAATGAGCAGACAGCACCTGGTTTAGAATTTCTCAGTGCAAAATTTCTGGTTTTCTGGGCCACTCCCAAGAGGCTTTATCCTTCCCTCAAGTCTATTTCCCACTTTCGCTTCTCATCATTGACGCAGTCTCATGATTTACTGTCATCTTTATGCTGCCACTGCAGCTTGCAGATGCTAGCCGCTGGATGCATAGTTCTGTCAACTTCTGCATTGATGTGGAAAAAAAACACATTGCAAGCTTGAAGTGCGGTTTCTTTTTCATCTGCCCCTTCCTTGTAAAGAAACACCTACTCCTCACATTGGCACTGATATATAACCGGAGTGCAAGCATTGTCACTTGAGCAAATACTTTGGCATCCTCTGAAATTCTGCATCAAATTTCCACACACAGGAAGTCCCAGAAGTCCTGCAAAAATACTGGCTTCGGAATGAATTGGAGTTTTAACCAGTTGGTTCCCCTAGCAAGCTCTCATCCCAGCAGATTGAAACGAGCAGATTAACCGGTGAAAATGATAATCTAAAACAAATCGTTCAAACCCATTCATGGACAGCGAATAGCCTGTCTCCCTGCAAATATAGATATCTTTACATGTCCCTGGTTACAATGGGAGCAAATTACTGCAGTTGCTGGAAACTGTACTGAGAACAAAAATGCTGGAGATCACAGTGAGCCAGACAGCAATTGGTTACAAACCAGTGCAGTTTTCAGCACACACAAGTGGTCTCTACAAGATTAATACATTACATATGAATGAGAAAATTCTTATTGATCTTTTGTTCCGAGTTGGTGATATTTTGTCCAACGACTGGGAGAATTAAGAAAAATGTCTTAGCTGTAAAACCAACTAATTATGAATTGCCTGCCTGCTCTGGTTAATAAGATAACTGCTATTAATAGAAAGGCAAAGGGGTTACTTTCCTCTGTGGCCATGTATTTACCAGCCTTTTGGACCATTCAACTGCAGACTGAAAAAGAGCAAACGTATGCCAGCAGGATGTTGGGAGGCTATTGTCTAAGAAATTGCAGAGTTAACAGCTCCTCTTTTACATGGGATTCCTGGGTTATGGTGTCGCCAAGAAGGACAAATAAAGTAATCTTCAGCTGCAAATGAAAACATGTTCAAAAAAGGTGAGAAGCGTATTGCTTTGGAATGCATTTATTCTGACCAAACAATTCTCCTTATGTTTCTTCAGAAACGAATGGCCAAGTGAACATCAAAACTAAATTTTTCATTCTGAAACTGATTCACCTCAGAACATTTTTAAGTTCGATGTTTTATAAATATAAATTATCAAGCTGTGCCCACGTACTCATGTTCTTATTTAATTTTATTTGGGTAAACTGCCAGGATGATTACAATACCGATTGGCAACTGTTGTAAATACTCAACTATTTTCAAAAACATTTGACAATGTTGAGGTTAAACAAATGGGTGGCAGTGGAAGAATTAAGGGCTTATAGACTCTGTTAGACTGGTTTCAATAGCCTTAACATTGTAATTGCATTTCAGTTACATCAGAAGCGTAACTAACATTTAGTGAGACTTATGAAACAACCAATGCAGCATCCTGATGACTTCAATCAGCACATTTATATTGGTTTCCACAACTATACCAATGATAACAAATACTACCCCATCTCCATCTCTGTTACCTCCTGCACTGTTTTTAAATTATCAATCTCCCTATCTCCCATGTCATAGTGGATGAGTGAAATTTCCCTCAATTAAACATTGAGAAGTCTGAAGCCATTGTCTTTGCTCCCCACTCCACATTTTGTTCCCTTGAGATTGTCTCCATTTCTGTCCCTGCAAACTGTCCGAGAATAAAGCGGCCTGATCGTAATCTTGCCATCATACTTGACCCCGAAATGAACTTTCAACCAAATGTCCACTCCATGATTCAGAGCCCTTTTTCCATCTCCAAAGCAATGCTAAACCTTGCCCCTGCCTCAGCTTATTTGCTGCTGAAACACTCATCCATATCATTATTGTTTATAGCCATGACTATACACAGGCACTCCTGACTGGCTTCCCACATTCTACACTCTGCATATTTGAGGCCGTCCAAAACTCTGTCTTCTTAACTTGCACCAAGTCCAGTTCCTCAGTGGTCACTTACGTTCCAGGGTACATTTGATCTTTCTCTCTCTAAAGGTGAACAGGGGGCAGCACCTTGTGTTCGTAATTCTCATTCTTGTTTTGCTAATCCGTCCATGGCCTCCCCACTTCCTATCCCTACATGTTCCTCCTGTCCCTCAAATATGAGCGATCTGCGCTCATATACTTCTGACCACTTGGTCTTCTCTGATTTTAATTCCTTCATCAACCATTGGCTGTACTTTCTACTGTCTAGGTCCTAAACTCTGGAATTCCCCCTATGCCTCTCAATTTCCCTTTCAACCTTTAAAGATGATGTTCTTTAAAAGCCACTTCTTTGACAAAGCTTTGAGCAATCTTCCCAAATATCAGTGTCGAATGTTGCTTTTTAATGTTCGTGTGAAGCGCACTTCATCACAATAAAGCTGCAATACAAATACAATTTGATTTCAGTTGTTATACTAAACATTGGCTGTGTGCTATAGCACTGCTACCAACATGTATCTGAGCTACTTTGTGACTGTTGCAACCGGAAGCAAACCAAACCAAATCTTTTATCCTGTTTACCAAAATTCAAGAATTATATCTGAAGAACCATGCTGCATTTATAGAACTGGATTTTCGATAATGCTAGAGCCATTGTAGTTCTAAATGTGTAGTGAAACCAATATGTATAAACTCACAGTGGATGGTGGAAGGAAATGATACAGGCAAAAAATGGCTTATGTTAAATCCTTGGTTTTTGCTGTTAGTTTATCTCAGCAACCGTTAATGGAGTGAAGTTACTTTAGATGATTGTAAGACTGTTGTAATGTTAACTTCATGGTGACCATGTAACCATTGATGATTGTCATTAAAAGTAACATGTGGCTCACTGGCTCCTTTAGGGAAGAAATCTGCTGTCATAGAGACATACAGAGCGGAAACAGACCCTTCCATCCGATCAGTCCATGCTGAACATAATCTCAAACTAACCTAATCCCGCCTGCCTGTTCCTGGCCCATATCCCTCCAGACCTTTCCTATTCATGTACTTTTCCAAATGTCTTTTAAATGTTGTAATTGTGTCTATATCCACCACTTCCTCAGGAAGTTCATTCCACACAAGAACCATCCTCTGTATAAAAAAATTTGCCCCCTATGTCTTTTTTAAATCTTCTTCTCTCACCTTAAAAATGTGTCCCCTATTCTTGAAATCCCACATCCTAGGGAAAAGACAACTACCATTAACTCTATCTATACCTCTCATAATTTTATAAATTTCTATCAGGTTGCTTCTCAACCTCCTACGCTCCTGTGAAAAATGTCTCACCTCACCAGCCTTTCTTTGGAACTTAAAACTTCCATACCCGGCAACATCATGATTAATCTCTTCTGAACTGTCTCCAGCTTAATAATATCCTTCCTATAACTGGGCGACCAGAACTGGACGCAGTACTCCAGAAGAGGCCTCACCAATGTCCTGTACAACCTCAACATGACTTCCCAACTCCTATGCTCAAAGGACTGAGCAATGAAGGCAAGTGTGACACATGCCTTTTTAACCACCCCGTCTATATTTGACACGAATTTCAAAGAATTATGTTCCTGAACCCGTGGGTCCCTCTGTTCTACAACACTACTGAAGGCCTTACCATTAATTGTATGAGACCTACACTTGTTTGTTGTACCAAAATGCAATACCTTGCATTTATCCAGTTTGAACTTCATCTGCCATTTTTTCAGCCCATTGACCCATTTGATCAAGATTCCTTTGTAATCTTAGAAAACCTTCCTCACTCTACTATGCCACCAATTTGGGTACTGTCCGCAAACTTAGTAACCATACACAAAAACAAAGTTGCTGGAAAAACTCAGCAGGTCTGGCAGCATCTGTGATGGAAAAAACAGAGTTAACGTTTCGGTTCCGGTGACCCTTCCTCAGAACCAGAGGATCATTTTGCCCAAAGCCTTACACACATTTGGTCCAAAGCCTTAAATGCTATGACATTTCAGGTGCTCATCCAAGTACTTTCTAAGGGTGTGAGGTTACCTGTTTCAACTGCCCTCCCAGACAGTGCATTCCAGACCCCCACCACCCTCTGGTTGGGAATAAAAATGCTTCCTCAACTCCCCTCTAAACCTCCAGCTTTTACAGATGTGACCCCTCATTATTGACCCTTAAGCTAAGAGGGACAGTTACTTTCTATCAACCTTGTCCATGCATCTCATAATATTAATACCTTAAGCAGTTCCCCTTCAACTTTCTCTGCTCTAAAGAAAGTAAAAGGAGCCTATCCAAATGTAGACATCGCTATTTTGTACCCCAGCCGACTCCTTACTATTCTCTATTTGAGTGCTATCTGCCTCTCCAGAATTTTGTGGACCCTTATATTACTGTCTAATGTTCTCTCCTGATTTACACAATCTAACCAAGTTGGCTTAAACTCTCCCTAACATCACTAGCAACGGAACTCAGCGCTGGATACATTCTGACACAACATCATCAACTTGTACAGATGCCACTTCAGAGCTAGTTCCAGGTTACCAGGAATCCAGAATAACTTCCTTTTTCCAGCCACTTGCTCACCTATCTTTTCCTCCTGTTTCTGAACTCATTTGCATTTAGCACTGTTGTCATGTAAGAGAATATGGATTGCCAATTTACACGCAGCAAGGTACCTCAAACAATAAGGAAGTGAATCATTCCCCATCTACTCTGCAATGCGTTTCATTATTTTAGATGACTCAAACCAGCTAAAACTGAGGCTAACAATCGCTCATCACATTGATGGTTCTTCATCTTAGGTTCCATCCTGTGAATAATGGCTGATTCCTTCTGAGGTCAGTACATCCTTCATTTCAGAAGACATATCCCAATTTAGCACTCTATTGTGGGTCTATGAATCAACCTAAACTACTCTTGAACTTAATGCAGTTACAATGTTACGATATTATTACCAAACAAGACAAGCTTCCAGTCAGGAGTCTAGCTTGATAGATCATATCTTCATTTGTTTTTGTCTTAGCTAAGTGGTCTCTCGCTGAAGCATATGCATGCAATGGTGCAGATTTTGCTTCAGCAACAAACTGAATGTTTCATACAAAAGTAACATAGATATAATAGAATAATCCAAACTCTGCACTTGTTTGAAGGTTTTAAACACACAGTAAAAATCCAATCCCATTAATCCCAAGACATTCCTTTATAAGTTGAAAAGAAACAAAACAGCTTGTATATAGGACCTAAAACAACTTATTGTTACCGAAACATCACTTATAAAATACTCACACTAGTATCCCTGTACCTAACACCTCAGCAGGTTTGTCACTTTGAAATCAGCTTTTAAACTGAATGTATAAATAGCTTCTTCCTGGAGACATCATACACTTGAGCTTCATAGAACACGTGGAAAAAAGGAACAAGAGTAGGCTATTCAGCCCATTGAGTTTGCTACACCATTCAATATAATAATGGCTGATCATTCAAATCAGTACCATGTTCCTACTTTTTCTCTATGTTCTTTGATACCTTTAGCCCTTTGGAACTGTTTCTAAGTCCTTCTTGAAAACATTCAATATTTTGGCCTCAACTGCTTTCTGTGGCAGAGAATTCCACAGGCTCACCAATCTCTAGATGAAGAAATTTCTCCTCCTCTCAATCCAAAACAATCAACACCATATCCTTAAATTTGATCTCTGGTTCTGGACTTCCTAGTCATCAGACGGGGTAGGATGATAAAGTCTACCAGTAGAAATGATTGTTGCTTTGCAGTTGGGAATTTGCAACAATCCAACAGCTTCTTGGTCACTTTTAATCATGACTTGCTTTTTACTTGCAATTCATGAAGTACCAATTATGGTTTCAAAGCTCACTCTGGGTCCTGTAATATAATCACAAAACTACCATACTTTCTTAAATATAACACAGTGAGGAGCTGGAGGAACACAGCAGGCTAGGCAGCATGAGAGGAGCAGGAAAGCTGACGTTTTGGGTCGGGACCCTTCTTCAAAAACTTTCTTAAATGCTTTTTTAAAGCT